TATTTAACTGCTCAAATACTCTCATCCCATTTTTGAAGATTTAAGTGACGAAAAAAACTCAATATTTTTGTTCATATCTAGGGTTAATATTTTTTGTGTTTCCCGTGGTTTTGCAGGAATAATATTTTCCTCTGATAACTTACCTTAAACTGTTTACTGGTTATAAGAGGTCCCAGCATAGCCAGTGGTAGATAAAAGCAGTAGGCTAAATAATATAACATCTTAAAAAAATGAAATGCTTTTTTTAATGACATGACATCTTTAATAGTTTCTGTCTGTTTGTTGGTTGGAAACTAAGCATGTTTGAATTAAATAAACAACACGTCTGAACAAATCAGGCTTGATCATTTATAGAGAGCCTCACAAGTAAGATTGGTGAAGATTATGAAACGCTATTTCAAAGTTTTGATTTTACTTAAAATAAAAAAGTAACAAATAATGAATCGAATTGGAAGTAAAGCAATATTTTAAAAGCTTAAATACTATACCTTGAATATACTATACCTTGTATAAACTATTCCTTGTATAAATTATACCGTGTATATACTATATACCTTGTATATACTATACCTTGTATAATATACTGTACCTTGTAACAATAATGTGGGGTTTTATGCAAATAAGCTTAAAAATGGAAATATGATTTAACTTTACTAACCTGTTATATGTAAAAATGGAAATATGATTTAACTTTAATAACTTGTTATATGTAAAAATGGAAATATGTTTTAACTTTACTAACCTGTTATATGTAAAAATGATAGAATTAAAGAATCTTCTTTTTTTACGTGGCCCCATATTCTATCCAGACAAAAACTTACACATCTAGAAATTCAAATTTATAAAAATAATGCAGTAGGACCCATAAAATTGAGGAATAAGAAAGTTATGATTTTAAGCAGTCCAATAAACATGAAACTCATCAGTTGTCTACACAGACCCATCACTCAGTTAATTGATTTTAAAGCAAGTGATTAAAATGTTTGCTTTTTACCAACATCAAATTCATATAAGATTTCTAAAGTCTTCAGATTTTCCAGGGCCCAATGTGAAGATTTCTTAAAACAAGTCATGAGATTTCCCAGGGCCCAATGTGAAGATTTCTTTACTAAAGTCTTCAGATTTCCCAGGGCCCAATGTGAAGATTTCTTAAATAAAGTCTTCAGATTTCCCAGGGCCCAATGTGAAGATTTCTTAAATAAAGTCTTCAGATTTCTCAGGGCCCAATGTGAAGATTTCTTAAATAAAGTCTTCAGATTTCCCAGGGCCCAATGTGAAGATTTCTTAACTGAAGTCTTCAGATTTATCAGGGCCCAACGTGAAGATTTCTTAAATAAAGTCTTCAGATTTCCCAGGGCCCAATTGTGTGAATGCACAGTTAGGACACATAGATGGTAACCAAAAACGGTGGAATAAATTTCTTCTTTTTTTCTCATGGTTTGAAAATTTTTCTACGAATTCTAAAATTTTAATTCTAAACCCACATTTTTGTAAATAAATCAGTCTTCAAAAGTAAAGAAATAAAAATGACGGCAATCCCTCCGTTGTTTTTCTGGTAACTACTGGAATACAATAAACTACTGGAATACAATAAACTACTGGAATACAATAAACTACTGGAATACAATAAACTACTGGAATACAATAAACTACTGGAATACAATAAACTNTGAAATTAATCCATGAAATAAAATTTTCTTTACGTTAATAAAAAGTCACGCTTTCTCCAATTTTTGTAAAATTATTTTAATCCATTGATTTTCAAATATTTTAGTTTTCTTCTTTTTAGTTATGAAAAAATAAATCTTTTTAAAATTTTTATTTCCTTTTTTTTGCATAAGTTTTTTGTCATTGAATTGATAGCACTGAAAAACAAAATTTTAATATTCCTTTAAATAGTTTCCATCAAGGATTTTAATTATCTTGAAAAATAAAAATTAAAATGCAAAGAAACACGAAATGAACAAGATAAAGACGATATAATATGCATGATAATGTGAGTTTTGAAATATGCAAACAATTCTTTCTGAAGTCATTGTCCCACGAAACATGAGCAAGACGGATTAAAGGTCGTCTTTGATATTTGAAATATTTTGCGGCATTTAAATTCGTGAATCTAATTCTAAAATTTAATAATTTCAATCTCTTGGCATTTCCAAAATGTGGTCTGCCTTTATATGCAGTCAATATTACCAAAAATATAAAGATTTTGGAAATACCAGGACTATAATTTTATGGTTCTTGTTTCTAGAATCATTCATGTAAAAGAAGGTTGACGACTGAATGTCACAAATAAATTCAAAGTTCAAAGACGACTTTCAAGTCGTCTTCCTACTGTCATGTTTCTGGGGAAACCCTGTATAAAAAAAACTTACACTGAATTGTTTGTAAGTAAATACGAGGTAAATATTATGAAGATTTGTGCCAGTACATAAAGGGTTGGCAGTACACCGATCAGGTACATGCTGGAGGTCAGAGAGTACAAGGCCTAGAGGGATTGTGTACAAAATTCATAAAAAGTATTATTAAACATTCTAAACATTTTCATTTAAAGCTCCACTCAACGTATTTTCAAGATACCTGCCGTTTAAAGAGAATTACATGTTTGATTCACAATGGTACTCTTTAAACGATCAGAGCTGGAAACTTTAGAATGGGATATCCTTAATCCCGATTACTTAATCTGAGTATCCACTGGACAGTGGACACACTTCTGATTTTCTTCTTAAACCGTTCTTTCTTGGATATAGTAGAGAAAAATCAAAAGCCGGTTTTTCTAAATCAGAGAGTTCCTCCCGTTTCTGTATATTATCTTAAATGGCGCGCAAAATTTCAAATTTATCGGCTTTACATACGCGACTCTGATTGGTTGAATTTTATACACTTTTCAGGACACAAGTAAAGACTAGGTTAGTCTCGATATTAAGAAAAAGAGAGGATCAAGCATTAATCTCGATATCCACCATTCTAAAGTTTTCAGCTCTGGAAAATAATATAGTTTATTTATCTTTAAAAATCATAAGTTATTTGAATATCTTCCTTATATTTTAAAATGATATAAAAGCTGTAGAAAAATCATTTAAAAATTAAAAAATACAAAACTTACTGAAAAATAAATGATGAATGAGGGATAGAATCTCTTGATCAGTTGAGAACACAAAGGATAAAGAACAACTGTAGAAAATATATTTTGACCAAATTTCTTTTTTTATTCTTCAATGGACTGTAAGTGCAAATTCAAGTGACCCTCCAATGCAAAGATGGCAATGCCCTATTTACCACAGTACCCTTGAAACCTTACTCTGATTAAAAATGTTGAAGATACAATCGTTTTTCTGGCTCGACAAGTGAATATATCTGTGAGTTTCACCATTGCTTCTTAAAAGCAATGCGCAAGTCAGTTTAGCGGAGAAACCGCAAATTAAAATTCCCAGTTTAGAGTAAGAAACAAATTGATACCTAATCCACTCTCGATCAGACAAAGTTTACAAGGGCATCGTTATAATCGGGCATTGGCATCTCTGCCTGGAGGGTCACTAGGAAAAACGTCTACATTCTCTTTAATGAACAAATTAGACTCTAAACCTGCATCTTTCACGTTGCAAACTTGAAAAATAAACCTTTGATATTTCAGAATTTGATTATTTGATCTATCAGAGTTTATAGTTTGAAATATCTCAGCTGTTTACTAGGTCAGGATGAAAAGATATAATTAAGGATCAGAAAAATATGAAGCGAGTCTTATCAATTTTTCTGTAAGTTTAAAATAGATTAGATGGCAACCATCAGAAGTTAATAATATCCGTTCAGTAATATTTTGCAACTATTTTTGCTAATCCATCAAATTCAGCAAGGAAAAAAATGTAGTAATTTTTAAAGAAACCTTTATTTACTTGAATCAAAGTCTAAGGCTGGAAAAAAAAGAAACCCAATTCATAAAAAAAAGAGTTTAAAAGTAATCGAAATTATGACAAGAAAATAGTATTGTGAATTAGTAGAAGCCTAAAAAATACATATTTTTGGACCTTGGTGAATCTTTAAAAAAAAATAAAGATGGGCCTTTATTTAAGTTTACATTAAAATGTTTGCTAAATTTCTGACGTTTAAAAAAAATTAACCAAAAAATTCAGACTTCTATTAATTTTTGCCTATTTACTTTTTTTTAAAAGAATGTTATTGAAAGCTTCTTTTTGGGAAATTAACATTAATAAAGATAATAATTTTACAAACTCTGGTTGGATTGAAAAATGTTGTATAAATTGAATATATTTCCTAAACATGCTAATTCCGATCTAACAATTCGTTTCCATGTAGTCCACTCATGATCAGTTTCATCCCGCTGCATAGGAGCGGTCAGAGGACTCCTAGTAAATACAGGGTGTAAAGAAGCGGTCAGAGGACTCCTGGTAAATACAGGATATATATAGGAGCGGTCAGAAGACTCCTGGTAAATACAGGATATATAGGAGCGGTCAAAGGACTCCTGGTAAATACAGGATATATAGGAGCGGTCAGAGGACTCCTGGTAAATACAGGGTGTATAGGAGCGGTCAGAGGACTCCTGGTAAATACAGGGTGTAAAGGAGCGGTCAGAGGACTCCTGGTAAAAACAGGGTGAAAAGGAACGGTCAGAGGACTCCTGGTAAATACAGGATATAGGAGCGGTCAGAGGACTCCTGGTAAATACAGGGTGTAAAGGAGCGGTCAGAGGACTCCTGGTAAATACAGGGTGTAAAGGAGCGGTCAGAGGACTCCTGGTAAATACAGGGTGTATTGGAGCGGTCAGCGGACTCCTGGTAAATACAGATTATATAGGAGCGGCAGAGAACTTCTGGTAAATACAGGGTGTAAAGGAGCGGTCAGAAGACTCCTGGTAAATACAGGATATATAGGAGCGGTCAGAGGACTCCTGGTAAATACAGGGTGTCCTATAGAATTTCGAATTAAATAAAATCTCATTTTACATGTTTTTAAATCTACAGGGAACATCTATCTATCAATAAAAGGGATTGTATTTACAAGGGTTCACTTAAAAACTTTGTCTTAATTAATATGATATCAATGTCTATGAAAAACTGATTATTTTCAGTTGTGGTTTCTCTACAAAAATTACTTGCACATTCTAATGCAGAAAAGGAAATAGGAATTATCAGAATTGAACACTTTTAAATCTTTAACAACGAAAAATATCGTCCAAACTATTAGTAAGATAAAGATTTTAAAAGTATCCGTTGTAAATTGGGCATTGTCATCTTTGCATGGAGGTTACTTTAAATTATGCTTACAGTCCCTTTGGCATTTAAGTTAAGATAATATGATACTTGTATTAGTTATGGAAAACAAGATTTTTTTTTTATTTCAACAATATCATGGGCCACCTTGTAGTTCAAATGAAGGCCTGGATCAGGCCCCCCACCCCCATTTCGATTTCCCAACCTTAAAGATTGGTCACCATTTTTTAAATGTACAATACACATAATACCAGAAATTTTGTATTTAAGATCACAACAAAACTTATTTAACTGCTCAAATACTCTCATGAGAGCCAGATTGTTTTAAACTCTCTGTCGAACGTGTTCACTCAGAATTGTTCAAAGTTCAAAGCTTTGAAAAATCCGCGAAATTCCTGTAGTGTAAACCCACAGTTTCCTGATTAAAGATATTAACAACTAGACAGAAAGTTTTAATATTCTTTAACTAAAGTTTTGACAACTTACCACCAGGGTTTAACCCAATATACTGTGTGAATATCACCACCATGGCCTAAAATAGTGGAATTATTGAAATAAATATTTACAAAATTACAAAATACTTTTATAGAGAATTTGCACAATAACGTGAGTGGTAAGAAGATAATTTTAGAAAATCGTTGAAATAAATTGGAAATAAGATTGGAAGAAAATGAAAAATTTGAGAAAAGGCATTAAAGTTAAGTTTAAAACTAAAAATAGAAATAGTGGGAAAGTTTGGAAAGAAATACCAATAAAGATGAAAACTATGAGAAAAAAGAAAATAATAGATGCTAAAGGTTAAAAAAAGACTAAAAAAAATGCCAAGTTAAAGTAGTAGAAGGGATAAAAATGTTAAGATTAAAAAATATATATTATAATGTATGCCTACGTTTTGCCTGTAGACAGAAAGATATTGCTGCTATAAGCAGTGCACCGATCCATAGAGCAGAATAGAGGTAGATTTCATACCAAATACATAGATCTTACTAAACATAGAGCAGAATAGAGGTAGATTTCATACCAGGGTAGAGATACATAGATCTTACTAAACATAGAGTACAATAGAGGTAGATTTCATACCCGGGTAGATACATAGATCTTACAAAACATAGAGTACAATAGAGGTAAAAATAAATGGATCTTACTAAACATAGAGCACAATAGAGGTAGAGTTCATACCATGGTAGAGATACATAGATCTTACTAGACATAGAGTACAATAGAGATAGATTTCATACCAGGGTAGAGATACATAGATCTTACTTAACATAGAGTACAATAGAGGTATATTTTATACCATGGTAGAGATACATAGATCTTACTAAACATAGAGCAGAATAGAGGTAGATTTCATACCAGGGTAGAGATACATAGATCTTACTAAACATAGAGTACAATAGAGATAGATTTCATAGATCTTACTAAATATAGAGTACAATAGAGGTAGATTTCATACCCGGGTAGATACATAGATCTTACTAAACATAGAGTACAATAGAGGTAGAGATACATAGATCTTACTAAACATAGAGCAGAATAGAGGTAGAGTACATACCAGGGTAGAAATACATAGATCTTACTAAACATAGAGCACAATAGAGGTTTATTTCATACCAGGTAGAGATACATAGATCTTACTAAACATAGAGTACAATAGAGGTAGATTTCATACCATGGTAGAGATACATAGATCTTACTAGACATAGAGCACAATAGAGGTAGAGTTCATACCAGGGTAGAGATACATAGATCTTACTAAACATAGACAACAATATAGGTAGTTTTCATACCATGGTAGAGATACATAGATCTTACTAGACACAGAGCACAATAGAGGTAGAGTTCATACCAGGGTAGAGCTATATAGATCTTAATAAACATAGAGTACAATAGAGGTAGATTTCATAACATGGTAGAGATAAATAGATCTTACTAAACATAGAGCACAGAAGAGGTAGAGATACATAGATCTTACTAAACATAGAGTACAATAGAGGTAGAGTTCATATCCGGGTAGAGATACAAAGATCTTACTAAGCATAGTACACAATAGACTTAGAGATAATAGATCTTGCTAAACATGGAGTACAATAAAGGTAGAGTTCATATCACGGGTAAGTTACATAGATCTTACTAAAAATAGAACACAATAAAGGTAAAGATACATAGATATTACTAAATATGGAGTACAATAGAGGTAGGGATACATAGATCTTACTAAGCATAGAGCACAATAGACATAAAAATAAATGGATCTTACAAAACATAGAGTACAATAGAGGTAGAGATACATAGATCTTACTAACCATAACGCACAATAGAGGTAGAGATAAATAGATCTTACTAAACATAGAGCACAGAAGAGGTAGAGATACATAGAAATTACTAAACATAGAGTACAATAAAGGTAGAATTCATATCTGCATAGTATGGATTCATAGATCTTGCTAAACATAGAACACAATAGAATTAGAGATAGATAGATAAAACATAGAAAACAATAAAAGTAGTGATAGATAGATAAAATCATGAAACATAGAACACAATAGAAGTAGTGATAGATAGATAAAACATAGAACAAAATAAAAGTAGAGATAGATAGATACATAGAACACAATAGAATTAGAGATAGATAGATAAAACATAGAACACAATAGAAGTAGAGATAGATAGATAAAACATAGAACACAATAGAAGTAGAGATAGATAGATAAAACATAGAACACAATAGAAGTAGAGATAGATAGATAAAACATAGAACGACGAAAAAGTTCCAGATTTTTACCAACTGAAAATACGAAGAAATTTTAATACTACGTTTTTACCGCTTAAATCTTTCACCAATTTGATCAGATATCTTCTCGTTTCCTTTCCTGTCTGGTTCACATTTTTTCATTTTTATCTGCAAAAATCATTTTTATTTTTTACATAAGATTCTGCGTTTCTGAAAATCAAGTTGTATTGTTTTATTTATTACCAAAAATTTTTTTTTATTTCATGTCAAAATTTTTTCCAATCTTCTAGTTTTTGACAATTAGAGGTAGTTTTTGAACATTGAATGCCGTTTCACTGCTTGAAGTCAAATAAACATAAAAACATCAGTTAAAACACTTTTTTATCACATAATGAGTACACAAATCATAAAATAATTACATTTAACAAATCAAGTAAAATCGAGTAAAAACCAGATAAATAACTTTATGAAAACAATAACTTTAGATTTATGCACGTGGAACTCAGTTCTTCGTTATGTTACAAAAAATAGTAAAGCTTATTAAAAATACAAAAATAAAGGAAAATTAGTATATTGCAATATATAAATAACAAAATTTGTGTTTTCTAATTATTTGATAAATTTGCAGGACAGGAAGTAATTTGAAATAAAAGTATTTTTATTTGAATAAATAAATGAAGAACGGAAGAGGTAGAATTATTTTCAACTAAATATAAAACCCTGCAAAAACTAGATCACTAGATTACTACCCTATTACGGTATTCAAATTAGACAATTTGTTCAATCCAGACTCTTAAAGTGTAGGTTTACTGTTGAGGAATAACTGAATAAATTTAAATGGAAAATATCGCATAAAAACTATTTGACTGCACTGTATCTTATGAACATTGAACAGTGCACAGTGCAACTTACACAGAACACCACCGCACCGCCTAAATAAAAAATAGAATAAAAAACCAAGAATTCCGTATTTAAAAAAAAGTTTTTATATTGATTTTTTATACTGTGAGTGCAATGCATTATGTTAATGTAAGGATTAAAGAATATCAAATTACAAAACAGAAAGATTACATATATAGATACCGGGTTACACGCAAAGGATGAGCCAGTAAAGACGACATAAAACGATTAACAGGTTAATTTAAGTCTAATGCTTTAAAATATTCTCTTTTAATCGCCTATTTAATGATTTTGCAAAAAAGGAAACCAATTTATTTTCGAAAACAAATCCGGGAAATTTTTCCCGTAAAAAAACTTACAAGAATTTGAGTGGAGTTTGGAGGTTATTCGAAAAAAAAAAACTGGATATTGCATGTTTTTGTTATATTTTTAAATAAATTATTTGCCACATAATGACTTATATCTGTACTGCAACTGCATTTTAAATGAACTTTTACGAAAATTGAAATTCTTTTGGAAAATGTATTTCTAAGAAATTTCAGGTGTATGTCAGAAAACTGTTGAATTTAAAATTGTCATAAATAATATAAATTTCTAAAAAAAAATTAGAACACTGCTGAATGTTGTAGAAATATGACTCTTCTAAATAAAAAAAGAAAGAAATAACTCATTCCAATGATTTCTGAAAACCACTGTATTAAATTGGGTGCAATAGAAACGCCTCAACACGGAAACGGACCAACAAGGAAACGCCTCAACACGGAAACGCCTCAATACGGAAACGGACCAAAAAGTGACTTTTGGTCCGTTATTGAAATGTGTAAGCAGTTATTTTGAGACCTTAATTGAACGGTGTTCTAGAAGCGCGGATATTATCTTATCTATAGGAACACACAGAACACCATTTTAGTTACAAAATCCAACCTCGCTCTGCGCTCTGAGGAGCGCTGCGATCAGTCCAGATAGCTGCCATGACAGTTTGTCTCAACGGAGCGAGAATATAAGCTCCGTTCTTTCTATACTGGACATTTTTGAATCATAAAGATGTGAAAACCTACCGATTGACGTGTAAATAGCCTTCCGTCAGGAAAGGATTTGGGCGTTTCAATAGATCAGTCAGAGTGGGCGTGGTCTTTTTTCTCATTCTCTTCTAGACCGAATAGATCAGGGGGCGGTTCCAAAAGCTGATGTCTCATTCGCTTCACAGACGCTCTATAGAATTTACCTCCCCTAGAATTAAACAATTAGTTTTGAACATTCCGCCCCTGGAAATATTACTGTAACAGGGTATTGTCTATATAATAAAGCTCTTCACTCATATATATATATGTATATATGTTATGTATATATATTATGTCTATCTATATATGGCCAGGCGCGTACACAGGGGGGGCAGTATTCCTCTAGCCCCCCACCCCCTGGGATATAAGGGCAAAGGTTAAAATCAGGTATGGTGATGTTAGAATCTCCCCCCCTTGATAAACAATTATAGCTATATGCATCATGAAAGTGTTAAGCATGTCTTCATGAGACTCAGGACTTCAGAGAGTAATAGTGATCTATACAGAGGGATACATTTTAATATATATATCTTTGCATTGGGACTACAATGGGCTACCTAGGGTAAATGAATGTTGTAGACTTAATGCGGAATAACAGCATTTATAAGGCCACTTAGCCTGAACCCCCCCTGGCTAAAATCCTGTTTTTCTCCAATTCAGAGAAAAATAAACAATTTTTTCCCCCAACTTCGGAAAAAAAAAATATTTTCAAAAGAGGGGGGGGACGTTTTTTCATTAAAATATACGACCCCTGTGTCCACTAAAGGATCAAAATTAATAAAACAGAAACTTACCAGAAGAAGAATATTGCAGAGAGAACACATACAAGAACTTTTAGTAAAGGGTGAGCAACATAGGATTCCTAGATAAATCAACTCATCTAGAAACTTGACCAGAAAGAATATTTTTTTTTCAAAGTTCTCTATTCGTTAACACCTTGAGAAAAATCTTTAAGACCCCGACACGAAATCCCAAATCCGTTTACAGAATGCATCCGGGAAAAGAACTTTTTTTAAGATTTAGGAGAAAAATTATAACGGAACCCCTCTTTTAAGAACTCCTAACCAAATAAGCTCATTCAGTTTACCCAATTTCACGAGGATAAGTGTTGTGCTCCGATCATGCACGCTTAGCATTAATGGGATGAAAACAGATTATTTCAGAGGGGGGGGGGATATGCCTGATTCCCTATAGAAGTAACCATGCTAAGAAATAGGATGAAAACAGATTATTAAAGAGGGAGGGGGGGGGGGATATGNGATATGCCTGAATCCCTATAGAAGTAACCATACTAAGAAATGGTCTAGATTAGTTTCCTCTCTGTTTGCTATGTAATCAAGGACTAGGAGGATACTGCTGATTGATATTCCCAAAGCACAACCAACATAAGGAAACTGCCTAAAAATAGTAAACCCAGAAATAAACTGATTACAAAAACTAAATATTATTTCAATCAATCAATCATATTTGATCTGAAAGGAAACCCAGCCAAAAAATTTCTATTGTGAACGTTTTTTACAGATCTATTTAAACTTTCCGCCCCCTCATTTACTTTTAACTAACATACTGCTACTGGTTCATTTCTATGAAATATTTTCTTTTTTATAATTTTTGGGTTTTAGATACAAATGAACTGATATCTCGTCTCAATTTCTAATTTTCAAAACCTTATTTCTTTAACTTTAACCCAAGACCAGATTTATTGAAAAACGAGAATTAGTAAGTAGTTAAACTACATAGACTAAATTGAACCACATAGTTGAACCACGTAGTTAAACCACTTTTTTCATTTTATTCAATCTGGTATCTGCTAATGTGGATCTTTGATATTTCAAATTATGACTTCTGCCAGGGTACTATTTGAACCTAAATCAATAATGGGGTACAAAGTTAACCCCTACGTCACTTTTTAGCTTGAATCTGATATCACCTTCAAAGTTATTCAGCGCTTTTTTTCAATAATCCAAGTTTTGATGAATATTTGACTATTTGTCTGGAAAATTTAATGTCCTGAATTACCTGTCATTGTTTTTATCTTTACTGATTTCCCGTTTACATTTTAGAATGCCCTCCATACAAGCCTCTTTATTGCTGTCTCCGCATTGAAAACCCTAAATAAACTTAGCATAAAAATCACTCAAATAAAACATAACATCAATTAATTAAACAAATAAATTAAACCCCCCCCCCATCAAATCAACCAGACACCCATAAAACTGACCAACAATCCCAACCAAACACCCATCAAACCAACAACTTAACCATCCAACCAACCAACTAAGCACCGACCCACCCAACCAAATACCCGAACCACCCACCTAAAAAACCAAACAGCCCACAACCCAACCAACCATCTAACCGACCAACCTCCTGATAAGCCCTCAAAGCCTCCTCGTAGTTGAAAGTAGCTGAGTATATTTCAGCTCTCCTGGCATGTCCGAGACTACATCTTGGAGCTAGCTCAAGGAGACGCGATGAGTCCTGATATATATTTACAGTAGTTACTTCTAATTAAATACATTATTCTTCTGATAATCCTTTGTTTCTTCCAAAAAAAAAGTAATTTACTTAAAAGCGATTATGCCTTTGAAATTTCAATCGTGCAATTCTTGATCAAGAGAATTGATCAGATGTCGAGATTTTGTAACCGCGTTAATCCCGTGAGACAGCACTAATCCATTTCTGATGGATATCGTTAATTTCTTCTGGATTTCTCTCAAGGTCAATGTGAGGTTGCAAAAATAAGAGCACGCTGCTTTTCATGAATTAATCATTTAATCATTTCATCCCTAAATCAATTAGTCAATTAGTCAATTAGTCAATTAGTCAATTAGTCAATTAGCCAATTAGTCAATTAGTCAATTAGCCAATTAGTTAATTGGTCAATTAGTCAATTAATCAATTAGTCAATTAATCAAGAAATCAATCAAATAATTAATCAATTAATGAATTAATGAATTAATCAAGTAATCAATTAATCAATTAATCAATTAATCAATAAATCAGTTAATCAACTAATCATTTAATTGATTAATCAATTAATCAATTAATCAATAAATCAATTAATCAATTAATCAATTAATCAATTAATCAATTAATCAATTAATCAATTAATCAATTAATCAATTAATGAATTAATCAATTAATCAGTTAATCAGTTAATCAATTAATTGATTAATCAATTAATCAATTAATCAATAAATCAATTAATCAATTAATCAATTAATCAATTAATCAATTAATCAATTAATCAATTAATGAATTAATCAGTTAATCAGTTAATCAATTAATCAATAAGTCAAAAAATAAATTTATCAATTAACCAAATAATCAATTAATCACTTTAAATTAAAATTTTATTATCTATCACGGGGTTGAAGACTTGAAATACATATTTCAGTTTATTGTAAATCTTGGAAACTGTACTTTACAGTACAGTACAGAACAATATAGTACAGTACAGTACAGTACAATATAATACAGTCCAGTACAGCTTACCTCTAGGGCTAAATTGTACTGCTCTGAAAACAAAAGACATTTACATCTATCACTCAGCATTTCTAGATTTTCAGGCTCGGAACTAAAAAAAACCATTTTTTACTTTTTTTTAGCGTTTCAATGACACCTCGATTGTAAAAATCAAACGAATATTGTTCCCTCAGTACCAAATACCCATACTGCAAAGATTTTATTGTGGGACGTCATGTATTTCTGGAGAATATTCTCGAATGAACACTTCTGGAGAATATTCAACCCAATATAATTCGGATTGAAGTAAATAAGCTGAACTTCAATTTGACGAGACTTTTTTAAAGAAAATTTTCATGCAAAAATTGGCTTTTGTTCAGTCAAAATCGAAAAAAAATGTTTTTTGCTGGCTAAAAATCCTGAAAATCCGTACAATTTGAAACATTAACTGTACATTCCGTGCAATATTTTGGTCAAACTTAAAAAAATCCGTACAATCCGTTCATTTTGGCCACTCTAACACTCTAAAAAAGACTATTTTTTCATGCATTGCAAACTAATCGATTTGTAATATCTAATTATTAAAAAAATTAGGTTGATCTTAGATTTGTTTCGTCTAGAACGGATTATTAAGTCATGCAAAAAATTTATTATTTTTTATGGAAAATGAAATAGCTTAAATGTCACAAAATGTTTGGTAGTTTCCGGTATGCCGAGCTGGGGAAGGCAGGCGGCCATGAGCCACCCTTTTTCCTCTTCAGTGCCACATATTAGCATTTTTCTCTTCCGGCAGCCATGAGCCAATACTATTTCCCATTCCGGGCCACCACATTTGACTCTTCAGGGTAAAACTACTTTTTTAAGTTGTACATTTAGGGCCTTCAATGTGTGATTTTCAAAAATCCCGCCGCGTCACGCAAAAAGCAAAACTCAAACCATTTTTTCAAATTTACGTAAGAATGTACTAGATTAATATATTAATATATAAAACAGAGGTAGTTTGTTTTAGATTTTAGCAGTTAAACTAAGTAATTTTTCGTATTGTGGGAGCAGAGAAAAACTGTGCAGAGTAGTCTGAAGAAAAAAGAATATTATGAAAATCACAATATTTACCGTCATTACTTACGCGTCACAGATTCTATCAAAAAAACACGTCTTTTAACGTAATTTTCTCTTAACACATTGCACATTTTCACACTAGAGTAAAAACTGAAGTGTATTTTATGGTGCGTTATTTTTAATATTCATATTGCTCTCCAAATTAAGCCATTTTTTATAATCAGAATTTATATTTGCGAAAAAAAAGTTTTGCAGTTTACATTCAGAGGAATCCTTATTGACACTTAAATATAAGGATTTAAATTTATATTTTTTTAGTGACGCGGCTGGATTTTGAAAATCACACTTTAAAGGCCTTAATTATACCATTTAAAAAAGCAGTTTTGTCTGGAAGAGTCAAATGTGGTGGCCTGGAAGGGTAAATAGTGGTGGCTCATGGCTGTCGGAAGAGAAAAAAACTAATATGTGGCACGGAAGGGGGAAAAGTGGTGGCACAGGGTCGCCTGCCTTCCCCCGCTCGTATTCCTCGTGAGATACCCCCAGAAATAGTTAACTCATGCCACCTCCTGTATTGTTCCTAACGCTCAGCTCAAAAAATTGTCTCAACATCAAATAACCCAAACTATTGTGCTATGACATTTATTAACATTGCGTTTTTCTGAAGTAACAAGAAATTTGGAAATGTTTTTTAAATTTTTAGAATTTCTTTATAAAATAAATTAGCATCATATTGAACGATTATATAGATATGATATCGTTCCCAAAAATTGGTGTTAATAAAACCAAGGGTGTATATTTTCTAGAATTATAATGGTACATTTATGGCCTTTACAGTGTGATTTTCAAAAATCCGGCCGCGTCACGCAAAAAATATATATCTAAGTCTTTATATTTAAGTGTCAATAAGAAAAAAGGATGATTCCTCTGAATGAAAACTGCAAAACGTTTTCCCCCTGCACTGGAGGGGGGTGGGGGAGGGTAAATTTTGATGTTTTTGGGAAATAATTAAAAGGCAAGTTTTTGGGAAACAATCAAAAGGCAAGTTTTTTTCATCGTTTATGATACTCTATACTTAAAATTAATTATTTCCCCTAAATATAATTTATTTTCCCCAATTAGGCAATAAAACCCTAAAAATGATTTTCTAAATGAGATTTATTTAACAGTTTAAAAAATTCGAAATTATAATGGATAGTCTAGGGAACATACTGTATTAATGTACTCTACTGCATATAATTTGTAAACATTTACATGATTTGTACACTTTGAACTCCCTTTCAGGCTTAAAGGGACTGAAAAAAATTCATTCCGAGAGATTCTTTTAATTCCTCTCTATATATTCTATTCTCTATGACCAGACGCCATGCCATCTCACCAATAGGTAGAAATATTAAATTACCTACCCCCCTCGTCTTTAAATATAATCTTTTAAGGATTTGTTTTGATTAAATTTTTAAATTGTGGCCAAAAATACTGGATGGAATAAATTGACGGTAAAAACTGTCCATTTGATGGTCAAATTTATATTCCCCTTATCCACTTCGGATCATCGACACTTTCTTGGTCCCCTCCCTTCTAACCCACTCAATAAAAATAAACATTCTTCCCTGGTCTATAAATAACGATTCAATTTACGTTCTCTTACAGAAACATTTAATAGAGATATATAATTCTTTCTCCCTAACACCTCTGGTTACCTAGGTTCTGTAACTAAAATCATTTCCGAACATTCTTAAAAAAATTCTTATCTGAAAACCACAATATTTAGTATTCGATGAACATGCTAAAATCATATTTATTCATATAAATAATATTAAAAAAATTGGAAAAATTTATTGAACAATGGAGATCAATTTTTCAAAAGCAATTTTTATTTTCGAAAAAAAGTTATTACAAGAAGCTACCTTTTAAAGTAGGAACAAAGAGTTATGTAAATATACCATGTTTTAACAAAAAATCTTTGGACTCGTTTTTACGCCAACCCTATTTACCCGAGATAAAATTGCCTCGTCAAATTGTTAAGGTGCATCCCACAAAACAAAAAATAACTTTTAAGATCAATTATTACTCCCCGAATTTAATAATTTAGTTATGTACTTTCAAGATTGTACTGTACACTGTACAGCTTACAATTTATTGCATACTGTAGAACTTACAGCGTAGTGTACAAGTACTAGAATGTACAGTGTTTCGAACACTTTAGAATTTACAGTGCATTGTACACTGTAGAATTTACAGCGTCTGTACACTGCAGTATGTAGTGTAGAGAACACTTAAGAATTTACAGCGTATTGTACAATGTTGTATTTACAGTGTTTCACACACTGTAGTTTTTACAGTGCATTGTACAGTTTCACTGAAGAATTGTACACTAAAGAATTTACTTTGTAGTAGTAGTAGTAGTATTTACAGTGTTTCGTACACTGTAGAATTTAAAATGTTTCGCACACTGCAAGGTAATAATGCAAGGAATATTAATTGCTGTTGCGAATTCTCTGCGTACATGTTAAAGCTAGTTCTCTTTGGGCTGTATTGGTTAACAAGAATAGATGCATCAGTGTTCCTCTAGTATCCGCAGAGGATAAAAGCATTTCATTTTGATAATTTACATAATAGTTTGCTATATCCAGAATATTTCATTGATTTTTTATGTGAAAGAAGGATCCCATGTCAGGCTGTGACGACTTTGTTTCATCCGTCTTGTGTTTACTTTATAGCCCAAAAACAGTACACAGGAAAATGAAAAATGCGTGTACACACCTCTGAAAGAACTATCTTTTTATTATAATTCTTTGATACACTGTAGAATTTCCAGTGCATTGTGCACTGTAGAATTTACAGCGTTTTGTACACTGTAGTAAGTAAAACGCATTGTACACTGTAGAATTTACAGTGTTTTGTACACTGTAGTAAGTAAAGTGTATTGTACACTGAAGTATTTACACTGTTTCGTACACTGTAGAATTTACAATGTTTCGTACTCTGTAGAATTTACAATCTTTCGTACACTGTAGAATGTACAGTGTATTGTGCACTGTAGAACGTACATTGTATTGTACACTGTATAATGTACTTTGTTCACTGTAGAATGTACAGTGTATTGTGCACTGTAGAATGTACAGTGTATTGTACACTGTATAATGTACTTTGTTCACTGTAGAATGTACAGTGTATTGTGCACTGTAGAATGTACAGTGTATTGTACACTGTATAATGTACTTTGTTCACTGTAGAATGTACA